AATAAATAAATAAATAAATAAAGAAAGAAAGAAAGAAAGAAAGAAAGAAAGAAAGAAAGAAAGAAAGAAAGAAAGAAAGAAAGAAAGAAAGAAAGAAAGAAAGAAAGGAAATGCTCTGGGATTGGAATGGTCAGATTCACATTATTTTCTATTGACAACACGATGTACAAATATGAATCAGCCCAGAGTTTTCCTCCTAGTCCAAAATGTCTTCTTCCACTCTTGAGCAAATGCAGTTTCATGGCTGAATGGGCAACCAGAAGCTGGCTCTCCCAGCTTCCTCATTCAAGGTGGAGAGGAAGCAAAGGAGCACTTTCCTTCAATTGAGCAACCTTTGTCTCCATTTTTAAAGGCTTGGTGCCAGTGCTGGTTTGCAAAGGAGAGAGACAGAGGAGGGGGGGGAATGGAGGAGGAGGAAATTGGCAATCAGCCTTTGTTTACAAGATCAGCTGGTGGAGTCAGAGAGGAGGAAATTAGCCACCAGCCTGAAATTGGCAATCAGCCTTTGTTTACAAGAGTCAGAGAGGAGGAAATTAGCCATCAGCCTTTGTTTGCAGCTTGTTATGTTAGCTTTGCTATAGCCATGTTTCCTGCAAATCTGGAAACTACATGAAAAGCTGCTTTAACAAAGAAGGGTTCATTGCCAATTTCCCCCCTCTCTATGTTGACTCCTGCCTGGTCAGCTTAAGAATATTTAACTGGGGAAACTCAACTTGTGGGTGCATGTTTAAAGACAGATGTGAATTTTCCCCACTGTAGTTGCACCTGAGTCAACATTAGTCCAGTTTCCTACAGTGTAGTCACAGCTGAGTCAACACTAGTCCGGTTGAAGCTGTGCTGAATCCAAAACCTTTTCAGACAAAGGATGCTTAGGACTATTCTCACCTTGGCCTAACTTTGTTCCTACACAGTGACTTTGTTCATTGCACTGGAGAAGGTTTGGATTTGACATACTGGTAGCTTCCCTCCGTCCTTGCTCCACCTCTTCTCTTTGTTTTATGAACAGATTCTAGCTGGCAGATCTGTGAGGTCCACCAGTAAAAGAGGGTTCTGCTGACTCAATGGCACTTCTGTTGGAATAAGGGCATTTCATTTAATATTATTTATACTCCACCTTTCTCTTGAAGAGGACTCAAGGAGGCTTGCAATATTAAGAGGCTTATGCCTCTCTCAAGTCCCTCACAAGCAGCATATCCTTGAGTTAGGCCTGTAGTGTCAAGCTCTAACCCTTTACCTACTTAATCAATGGAGAGAATAAATCCAGCTGAACTCAGTTAAATCTGAATAGATATGTATAGGTTTACCATGCTGCCCTAATTTTAATTTTATATAGGATTGCGGCCTAAAAGAACCAAATGTTACAAAAATAAAAGTCAATAAAACTATTATGTATTTCATCCTTCCTAAGACATCATGTATTTTCATTTAATTCTTCTTTATCTGTGCACTACATGTCTTCTGGAAATAGAGAAAAGCAAACAAAAGGTACTTCTTTATCAAACAAAAGTGAGCACAAGAATGAATGGAGCTGAATTCACACTGCAAGAATTTTCTAAGTGGATTGCAAGATGTCAGCAGTATTGTAGGGAAATGAAGGCAAATGTGTGTGTGTGTGTGTGTGTGTGTGTGTGTGTGTGTGTGTGTGTGTGTTTCCTGCACAGTTGAATAAAGTCTCATGATAAGTAGATACCTTTAATTCTCTCCTACTGGTTGGTTTTCCTAATTCTTCCTTCTGACTATCAGTCTGATTATCAAGAGAATTTTGTGAAAATAATTCTGGAACTGGGACATATGCTTAGCTTCCCAAAGCTTTTATTCTTCTTAATTCGTTATCATCACTTTCGTCGTAGCTTTACTGATACATACAACGATCAGACAAATAAAGAAATTCTTTTTCTTTTCTTGTTCCTTTCCTCCCCGCCCCCTCGCACAAAGATTTTGCAAACTGCTCAAATGGTGAGAAGGGAACAGAATGGAAGGAGAGCAGGCAGTAAATTAATGTTGGGGACTACAACTCCCAGAACAATGCTAGCTGGGGAATATAAGAGTTGCAGTTAGCCCCCTCCCCTGAAACCAACAACTTTTATAACCTATACAAAGGCTGAGCTTGAAAGCCTAAAAATTAAAATGGAGAGAGAGAGAGAGAGAGAGAGAGAGAGAGCATTATATTTCTTAGGCATCTGTGCTGCATCCAGACAAAAACGGGTGATCCAGGATCCAGAAATCAAAGCCAAAATTTGGATGACTGAATTTTTGTAATCATTCCTTTTCCCCAGCCAGCATAATCACAAGTGCTTCATGTAAATATATGTAAATATATGTTTTTTTCTTTTACACTGTACAGTCCTCCTACCTCACATGAGGAGAACCTATAAAGTCGCTTTTAAATGGGTCAGACAAGTGTCTTAGCATCAGCCTTTTCATTCAAGGAAGGGGGCTCTCCTTCCCATATTGTGACCTAGTGAGGCTTGTTGGTTGTAGTGCAGATGAGAGTTACCGAAATTGATCCACTGAGATTAGGCAGATTCTCCATGTTGGATGTCCTCAGAGTCAACTAAAGACATACAGTATTTACTTGCCCAGACATTTCCCATTATTTTCCTAACAGTAGTTTCTAAAGTATATTGTTGCTGCTGCTGTTTTATCATATTATTCTTTTTAGCTGTGATGCTCACGTCCGCTAAAGCAGTGGTCCCCAGCCTTGGGCCTCCAGATGTTCTTGGACTTCAACTCCCAGAAATCCTGGCCAGCAGGGATGGTGGTGAAGG